GGAGAGATGGAGAGAGTAAGATGGAGAGAGAGATGGAGGTAGAGAGACAGAGGAAGGAGGAGGGAGGGGGGGGCAACAAAAACAACTACTTACTTTACAGGTTTGACATTTGCTTACATTCACCCTCCTTCCAAAAATCCACATCTCCACCAACCAATCAGATTTGGAGGAGATGGTTCCACAGCTCAGTTTAGCATCACTGTGGTGATGCACAAAATCTTCCCAGGAAAAGAAATTTTCACAAGAGTCTTGGTTTTTTTTTTTTTTTTCCTTCCTTAATTTTCACCGGAATCTATGATCATTTTAAAAGACCAATGGGAAAGTCGGGAAGCCAGTGACAGAGCTGGAACATCCTATTAGAGAGCTGGGAAGTGCAGCGAGCTCCGTATCCCTGCTGACACCAGCACACCACCATTTGATGAAAACATGGCTCTAAATTAAATGCAGATTGTTAATTGTGAGCAGAGCTGATGAACCGGTTATCCAAGGTTGATACTCTTTCGTTTTAATTCAAGTCTTTTTACTTTTTGACATGTTATTTTCCTTAACTGATCATCTAAAAAAATCTATTTACATTCTAGTAATTTTCCTCTGATTTCTTTTATAATTATTGTTTTCCTGGGAAGAAAAAAACCCAACAAATGATCGATTCGTAGTTTTTACTAAAAAAGAAAAAAAAAGTAAAGTCCAATGTCTGGGCACTGACTGGCCTCCCTGTGGACCACACTGCTCCGTCACTGGGAGGTGCATATGGACCATTAATTGTGCAGCACAGCAGAGGAAACAGGGGGACACAAGTGTGAAAAAGGGGGCAATTCTGAGGGTGAAAATATTTGCATATTTATATCGGGGAGGGGGTAGTTGTAGGAGGGGAGGTGTAAAACCAAATGATGCCAGGCTGAAGAAACCATCTTAATGCCTTTAAACATTAACATTTTTTTCCCTCCTTTTGTTGTTGTTTAACATTTCGAAAACACATTGAGTTCAGTTCATTTTGGTTCATTAATAACAGGTTCTCAGAAAGGCCCTGAAACAGGCCTGTGTTTACACCGATAATTAACTGTCTGTTTAATTCAACCACATCAGGGGTGTCTTCAAAATGTTCCTTTAACTTGAATTACGTTTGAAGTTGTATTTTAAAGTAGTGATTTTACTGGTGGAATGAGGATAAAAATCGACTATAATTTAAAACATTTTTCTTATCTTAGGCCCGTCGTAATTAATAAACTAATTCTGTATAAATAACAGACATTAAGACAGTATTTCTGCACATAATGACAGTTTCCTGTTTTCTTTTTTTTGTTGTTTGGTTGTTATTTTATATATTTTTTTTTTACATTTTGTAACGTGTCTCCTGCAGAAATGAAGTCAGTGAAGTGCGGCATTCAACAACACATCTAACAGGGGTGTCCCCCGTCACTTCCCCTGGTCTGTGCATCACGCACACACACACACACACATACACACACCAACAAACACGCACACGCCACAGCCGCTTCGCACGTCCGCGCGCACGTCCGCGGGGTCCAGGTGCGCTATTAGTGAGGAACATGACCGGGCAAGTCTGTAATCTGCACCCACGCCCCTGGAGTTCCTCATCTGGTCACATAAATTTGCGCATATTAATATGCTTCCGCAAAAATTAGAGAAAGAAAAAGGAGGGGGCAGAAAATAGAGCCAGACTCTGGAACTGTGCCTTGGAATATTGCGCATAAAAACCTCCCCAAAAAGCCACAAAAAAACCAAACAGTTTTGAAATGTTAACGAAAACAGAAGAGATTCAAACAACATATTTAATTTGGACTTCATTAAAAAAAAAAAAGCTTCTGCTTCTGCAGTGTCAGAGAATGAGTGGAATTGCAAATGGCCTATTTGAGCTGGTTTGCATGGGAACAGCCATATTCCTCCTTCCTCGAACCATTTCACCATTTCCTCCACATTTTAATGAACACATGTATAATTTCAAGTGTTGATAGGCGGAAACGAAACTGTGTGCACCACATGACTTGAAACAAACAAGGCAAAACAACAAGGCCTTAATGTCCCCGTGTGGAGCCGTAGTTGGGATTTCAGTTATTTTCGACGCAGATTTGTGCAGGATTATTATAATGCACTGTAATAGCAAAAAGATCAAGTTTGCAGCAGGGACAGGGATTTGCTGCAGGCGCTGAATGAAAAAAAAGAAAAAAAAGAAAGAAAAAAAATATATGTAATCAATTTAAGCAAAGACAGGCGGCTGTTTGTATTTTCAGGAGAAAATTGCTCTAAATAATCAAATTCATTTTAATGAAAGGATAAATGCATTTGCACTGATTACGGCCTTTCTATGGGTGTAGACCTATTTATGTCAAGGAGCTGCCTTTTTTGTAATTGAACATAATTGATAATGGCACCAATTTGTAATTACGCGCAACAACAACAGACAGAATGTCCTTAAAATCTGGTCCATTTCCCCCCCAAAAAAGAAAAAAAAATAGAGCATCTCTGCGCAGTGGACGCGCTTGTGGCAGAGTCAATCAAAAACAGCTGCAATTAGCAGATGCTACACAATGAGAGCATCGAGGTGTTAAAGATAAAATCTCCAACACGAGCCGCCAAACTTGATCAGAGTGCAGCAACGTCGAGGCTTCTGGAGTGAAATTGATCATCAGTTGATCATCTGATTGGATGGCCAGCGCATGTTTCCATTTGCCTCTCACCCTTCCTCTGTATTTGCACCTCATTCTCCCCCATTCAGCCATTTTACATATTCATAACAGGAGTTGGTAATGCGAAAACAATCTGTGCTATCAGCACCATCTGAGGCGCACAGGGCCGCTGCGTAAAAAATAAAACACACACTCCAAAAACTCTGGTTTTAAAAAAACAAGAACAAACAATTATTTTTTAAGTTCGCATCATTCCACAACATAACTGTTCACCTCAGCAGGTTTATGAAGAATTAAAAAAAAAACCCCAACAGCCGACCAGTTCTCCATCTCGATGGCACGGTGAAAGCACACACGCCACAAACACCATCCGATCCTGCAGGCGAGCAATAATTTCGATTTTCACTTTTCATCCAAACTTGAAAGCACTCAGCATCAGGATGTCTGGAATGACCCCATGCATTCTCTACACCCCCTCTTCCTCACCCTCCGTCTCTTACCTTCTTGGAGAGAGTACAGCAGGAGTAAAAGTACAAGCCACATGCCATAAATAGCAGGTATATTTTTCAGGAATATTTGGCAATCCTGGCAAGTGTGCGGCGCGTTTTTTTGGCCAGGCGGGTCTCCGTGCTGGACTGGCGACTGTGCTCCCCGGAGGTCTCTCCAGCCCTGCTGCCCCGCTAAGCGTGGAGGGGGAATGAGAGGCGCCTCAGCCCCGCCCATGGACCCTCCTCTCCTCCTCCTCTTCTTCTCCCCTCTCCTCTCCTCTCCTCTCCAGACTACCGTGCACGCATATCCATCTCCATCACAACTGTGGGTCACTGCAAAGTCGAGCTTCGATTTCAGCCGATGCGCGGATTTACAGAGGTCCAGTTGTGGCGTCCAAAGTGCCAGGGTGTGTGAGCGGTGCAGCTGCGCAGACGCATCCGTTGGCACGGTGGAGAGAGCGCACCCACCTGTGCGCCCCGATCACCGCGATTTCTTTGCGCTACCCGGACCTTACAAACGAGTAGATCGTATATTTTTTTTTGGTTTTTAATCGAGTTTTGGATCCTCAACACAGGGGTCTGTGTTCAAACCACAGAGTAACAACTGTTTTCTCCTTTGTCTTGTGCATGGAGCCTTGAATGGTGCGTAGACGTTTGCGCACAGAACTGCATGCACTGCAGATATTAGAGCGGGAGAGAGTCGGGGTGTGGGGCAGGACACTTCCACGCAGCAGGTAAAAAATAAATAAATAAAATAAATAAAAACACACCGGACACTTGATGTCGATAAAAAAATACTCAGGCTGGGATTGGATTAGTTAATTGTGGAGGAAAAACTTCTGCACACCTCTGTTGGTTTCTCCCATCCTGCGGTGCTCTTTGTTGCGCCTGATGGAGAGAATCGGCGCTGCATAAGCATAAATTATAATGATGGGTAGAAGCTGGGCACTCCCCGTTCATGGAATATTTAAAAGCACCGTGGACGGGACTGTAGTGGGCAGGTCAATGTGACCCTCGTGCAAACACCAGGACCGAATTGAAGACAAAATATTTGCAAATACATCTTGTTTTATAAAAGTCGATTTTCCTCAAAGCCCACAAGGAAAGTATTGTTTCTGATGATCTCTGTGTTTTTAATTAATACTGCACCAAAATGATGATTAAGAAATATTCAATTCATTATTGGGGTTGCACAAACGTTGTTTGTTGTACGTGGATTAACGCATTTCCCCCCATGTATTTCCCAACCATCGTTATATATTTTTGTCAAAAATATTCAATTAATTATTGGGGCTGCACAAACGTTGTTGTACGTGTATTAACGCATTTCCCCAGTGTATTTCCCAACCATCGTTATATATTTAAAATATATGTAAAGATATTAAATGTATTATACTGGAGTGCTTGTCATAACGTGACGATTCCTATTAAAACTATTGGCAAAAACATTTATTTTATATGTACGTAATTTAGCAATTCTACTTAAATATTTTATATCGGACTTTAGCTTTTATATATTGCCCACATTTACGTCCTGTATATTAAAGCATAGTACAAGAAAGTTTATGAATTCGTTGAAGTATTTTTCTGTGAGAAAAATCGTTAAATATAGCTAACTGTACAAGGTAAATTGAACTTTTTAACTGTAATTGTTTGCTACGTGTTTGCTGTAAGACTGTCTCGGAAAATAAATACTGTAAACGTAATGTAAAAAAAACTGTTTTGTGTTTCTTTGTGGACTGAAAATGTTAAAGATCTTTGTTGAAACTTCTGCTGTGTCTCAGCCTTAACCCCGGAGCACTGATCAGACCCGATGTCCAGCTTCTGGTTCCACATACAGTTCACTACTGACACCTGCTGGAGGAACCTTACAACTGCCGCGACCTCAAATGGCTCGTTTGAACTACAAGTGGTCTTGTCAATAAGTCACCGTCTTCAGCCTGTTTGCTTTTGATTATAAACCTGAATAGGTTTAACTACAAGCACAAATTAACATTTTTAAATGTTTTAATCGAATTTAAGAAACTCTGGTGATGAGAACAAATTGAGGCTCGAAAACTGTTTAGATTCGTGCGATTTCCCATCGAGTTCTATCGACATATTTATCGACATCCAACAATAAATATATGGTTTCACAAACAGTTTTAGAATTGATGCATCTAGAACGGAAAAAGCACAGATTCAACAGGAAGTTCCCCAGCAGCCAGATTCTAGTATCATCAACGGTTTTCATTCAACTGTGAATAAAATGTTGTTTACTCAGATTTTTAAATCGAAAAAGAGTAACAGCTTAGTATACTAAATAAATATTCAAAAACAATATGAGGAAACGTATATTAATATTCTTTAGATGTTACAATATGATGTGACAATTGACAAGTTCTAACTAAGGGCTGGAACTCAATCTCGGTTACCAAGGGGGTGGGGAGACATTTGAGTGTGACGCCATATTGTATATTCCATATTCAATGGAACCTAAAAAACTGTGTTGCTATGAAAGCTAAATGCTACCAGTGGGTGACGTTAAATTTGACAGACTGCGATATCCGTTAAACACACAGCAAACGGGTTTAAATTTTATAAAGTTTTCGAAAGATGTTGCCTACCTTTGTTGAAGCTTGTATTATTGTCCCAAATAAGATCGTTTTTCTCATTTTAAAATAGTCGGTGCACACAAAACTGAAGGCTCTTATCGAGAAACAGGTACAATTGTTTTCCCGCCCTTCATCAAACGTGATGACGTATGAAGAGCGGCGTGACATCAGCGGAAAAAGAAAAGAATTGAGTAATAAAAAAGGCAAACAAATTAAAAAAATAAATACATAAGATATAAATTAGTACATCAGATATAAATTAACACATAAGACGAGGATACTACAGTTTAAACAAATACACAAATGTGCCCCTAGATGCTGCTCTTGCACGGGTAAAGTCACCATTGTTGTGCTTTGTCATCCATCTTCCAACATTTACACCCACTAATAAACAATTCAAACAAACGTAACAAGGTGTTGATAAAGACTTCATGGGTTGAGATCATCTTTTATTTTATTTAATTCTCATGTGAACATTGTCTTGGACGCCTTATGTCACTGTTGTGAATTCTGCTGAAATTAGATCAGGACTGTATTGTTATTTTAGCTTAAAATTCTCTGAGGTGAACATGTCAAATTATACAAAAAACGTTAGGTTTATCAAACTTAACAGCAACAAAAACAACAACAACAAAAGAAAACCACAACAAATAAGCAGAAACCATTCTTAAAGTAACTGAAAAGCAACGGGACTGTACAATGACACAAAAATAAAAAGTTCAGGATAAAAACAACAGCAAAACAAATAAATTTAGCTCTTTTTGGACTTCTGTGCTATTGTCAAAGATTACACCATAAAATGTAAAAGTTCTTGAAGCATTTCATGGAATACAAAAGTTTAAGTGGACGCTATAAAAATCCCCATCAAAACACCAGGGGCCTTGACATAAAAATAATCCAAGTAAGAGCTGAAGGATCCTTGCATTAAAGGAAACAAAAAGCAAATATCATTCATACACAGTAAGAACAGCAAATACAATAACGTCGACTTGTCTCTACTGGCTATCTAGAACATCAACATACCAACAGTTTTACTGCAAACACACAGTCACACGTTTGTACTGTGAGATGAATGTGCTGTAGAGCTAATATATTTTATATTTTTGTTTTTTTTTTTAAAAAAACTGCTTTTTGAGAATATAATAGATTAATATTGTCCATTAGGTGGGCCTGAAAAAATGTGAGAAGAGCAAATGTTACCTCTTTACAGCTATTTCTGTTCCTTGATCTATATGGATAATAAATCAACCATCGCTGAGTTGTATGCATTTTCTTAAACATGTACATAAAAACCATATTCAAAGGACTGAAAAAATATTCTTCAAAATCTTTTCATGACCAAGTAATAAAAATATATCTCCCCTGACCCATCTGTGGGTCGACACTGGCCCGGTGTGGGGTCAGCGTGCGTTGCATATAACAGACAGGGATGAACACAGAGGTTACCGACTTCTGCGGCGGATGCATGTATTTGCCCTGCGCGTGAAGCCGTGTTTGCAGAAACACTTGTAGGAGCCCTCAGTGTTCACACAGCGGGCGTTTTTACAGGGACTGATGTGAGCTCCTGGTTCTGCACACTCATTAATGTCTGGGGAAAAGAAAATTAAGAAGATGACAAAATATTAAATGTATTAAAGCATGTGAACATGATTATAGTTTAACTTAATTTAAGATAATTCCCTTCATGGACCTGGATGTGTTTGTAAACTCTCTAAACTGTCGGTAAAATCTATAGATAAACAATGTGTTGGTAAACTCGGTAAAACTGTCGGTAAAATCTATAGATAAACCTGATGTTGACTGCTGTAAAAATGTTGACCAATAATGTAATTAAAAAAAAGGCTAGTTTTTACTTCGATGTCTACAGCTCTGTTCAATGACACCAATATTGTTTTGAATGATGAAAACGTATTCAACAAGAGTACGAACCTATACAGCGTGCGAGGGAGTGGTCCAGCCTGAAGCCAGTGTTACATTCACACATGATGCCCAGGTAGGAGCGGACACAGCGGCCATTTACACAGCTACATTCATCTGAATCCTCCTCTGAGCTGTCGCCTGTGAAAAAAAAATCCCCAGGGAAATATTAGAAGAACGATTTGGTTCACAAATAACAACAACAACAACAGAAAAGGTCAATACCTGGGTTGTAATTGGGAAAAGATGGGAGGAAATCCTGCTCCCCGTCAGACTCTGTCTCTAGGTGCATCTCACAAAGACGACTGAACATATCTGAGGGACAAGAACAGTCGTGGGTTGAGTCCAGAGTTGAAAAATAATTTTGACACGAGGCAGATAAACCTCAGTTGTTTTTTTTCCCCTCACCTGAGCCTCTGGAGGGACACGTGTTACACTCTGGCCCCCATCCACGGCCGTAGTAACAACAGCACTCAGAGTAGGTCACCACCATGCCGTTTCTAGGCTCGCTGCAGATCAAACCCTCGTCCACCCGCAGGAAACACACGTCCTTGTGGGCAGCAGTGCGATCTGTGATCAAAATGGAGACTTTATACAGCACAAACACACACACACACACACACACACACTGACTGAATGTCATTCTGTGTCAGGTTAAACGCATTGTCCCAATGTCTAGAAGTTTAGGGTAATGATATCTCTCAACGAATGGGAACCTTTTTCTCTACAGGAAGTGATGCATTAGAATGTAACAAAAAGCCAGAACAAGCATTAAAGGGAATACATCAGGAAAAAAGTGTGAAGAGCAACACGATTGGCAGATGTGAAGTTTAGGCCAAATTTCATTTGCATCAGTCAGGCTCAGCCGTGAGGCTCAGAGCTGATGCTTATTTTTCATTTTCGTTTTCGTTTTACCCACCGTCATAGACGCACTGTTTCAGCGCTGCACTGAAGGTGAGGGGAGGGCTGCAAAAACAGTGAAAGGAGCCGGGCGTGTTCTCACACCTCCCGTTCTTACAGTAGGAGGGGTCCTGGCACTCATTCACATCTGCAAAGGGCACCACAGACAGGAGATTACAGGAGGGAAGCCTTCGTTTGGGGCCAGCTCTCAGTGACAGGTGGTGGACACCGCGACAAAAGCATGTGTGTGGTTTCAGTCCACTCCAATACAGTAGTCCGTAAATTAAAATGGCTGGGGCTGCTGATGAAGATCAGGTGTTTTTTTTCTTCAGTGAAGTTTGTATGTAAGTCTACATATATAAAATGATATATGACAAAGTAGTGTAGAAAAAAAATAACTAACTAGGAGAGTGAAGAGGATTGGCCTGTGACTGACAGCTGCATGGACTAATGGCAGTCTGACCTAGAATATCCTGCTGATTATTCATTATATTCATGTAAATATACTTTCCATAACTGTCCATGTATTGGACTGATACTGTATTGGAGCCGATATGACATCACATAGTTGTTGTCACTGTTGTCGTGACCAACACCTTTACAAACCATTGCCTCTTATCGAGGCCCACATGCTGCAGCATTTTTCAAATGACTTCACACATGCATCGTACCCCGGTGTGATCATGTGGGCTCCACATGACTGAACTTGGGCTACAAGGACACAAACTGGGTAGAGATCTGATCTCTGATCAGATTTAACCGTGTCGATGGCTCTGAATGAGGACTCGGCCCAGATGGTCTGCAATTAACATGCGACCTATACTGTATGTCCCACATGCAGAACGGCTGCAGGAGTGAAAGAGCAAACTTTGCTACAGCAGAAACACGTCAAATGAGAATAGTTTTTATATTCATGTGTCATCTGTTTGCAGGCAGTTTGCAGAGAAAATGAATGAACGCATTAAAGAGAGACTTTAATGAGGGTCACATCCGTATGGAGAACGGACCGACTGAAACAACTCATGTTCATTTCTGTCAGTTTTCTGGCCTCACATTTGAATGTCATCAAATAATTTACTGGATTTTGGCTCGTTATTGTGGGTGCGGTTTTTTCTTTGTTTGTTTGTTATTCTGTTTGTCTGAAATGTAACTTTTCCAGCCAGTTCTCTGAAAATCAGAGGCAGAAGTCGTGCCTGAGTGGAACTGACATGGTAGAACAAAGATGTTACTGCAGCAACACTGGCTCCTCTGGCAGCAGAGACAACCATCACCGTTCCTTCTGTCCAATGTGGCGCTGAGCCACCTAAACACTTGGATTCCCAAAGGTACACCATTCCTACATGTCAAGCCTTTTAACTTGTCATCCATCATCTACCAGCTGTGCACCAGGCAACTCTCTGCCCCCACCCTGTACAGATGATTCATTCTGACACTCGAGTAAAAAGAATAGTCTCCCTGAAGGGAATTGTGGAATTACAGTGTGGAATTTAGCAAATTGTCTAAAAAAAAACCCCCACCATATCTCAGCTTTCTGTCCAAACCTAATGATGACATATTGAAGTGGTTCACACAAGATTACAACAGGATACATTTTTTTAAAACTATATTTACCACCATGCACTACAAAAAGCATTTTAAAAAGCCCAATCTTACATCAACGGTTCTTAAAATGAAGGGTGGACCCCTTCTATAGGGTGAAGACCTTTTGAACTGAGGTAAAAAAAATTCAATATTTTCTTTAATTGTGCCACAGTGGGGTGATTTGTGCATTAATTTTCTTTCTTCAATGATTTTTTTTATTTTATGACTGTCAAAAAGATCAGGAGGAACTAAGTTAGCTAAGATAGCTGAATTAGCAAACTGCAGTTTATTTATATATTTCTAGGATATGTTTTATACATATTTAATGGTGAATGTTTGCTATAGAAGGCTTCATGAAAAATAGGCAAACTCGAGGTTAGTGCTAGGAAAGGTTAGCTACTGGTAGAGGGTTCTGATGTTACTGTTGTCCTCTTCTACTGCTCCGTTCCTCTTCCAGACACTCACTCTGCCGAGGGTCTACACTCACCCGCCTGTTCGTCTGGAGTCACGCAGCTGTTGCGGTCATTGGCCAGGATCCAGGGTGGGGAGCAGATGCAGTAGTACGACCCCGGCGTGTCCACACAGTGACCATTCTTACAGTTGGCTTGGTTCTCACATTCATTCACATCTGTCCAAAGAAAAAAGAGTCAGCTCAGTGCGAGAACGCCTCCAGCAGCTAACAGGCTAACAACGGGAGGCGTTCGCTAACTCACCTGCTACGGTCGCAATCACACAGTTCTTCTTATTGGCGTCTGGAGTCCAGGGCTGCTTACAGGTGCAGTAGAAGGAGCCTTCAGTGTTGATGCACTGACCGTGAGTACACAGAGACTCGTCGTGGCATTCGTTCACATCTGAGGACGACCAGGGTGTTGGTCAAGTTAATGAACAAAATTGGCTTTTGTCAAGACGACCAATCACAACGTAGCATTGGGCAGGTTCTCACAAGGGCTTGACAACTAAGTGGTGTCACTACGTTTTTCAATTACTTTGACCTAAACATTGTGGCACCAATTGATCCAAAGAGGATAAAATGGAATTTAAATAAAAAATGTGAGCTGTTTATGCTAACACAGTTAAATGCCATTGTCAGAAATTCACTGTTCACGTGTTGAGTCACTGACCAATGCACTCCAGAAGGTTGCTGTCGTAGTAGAAGCCCTGTTGACAGTAACACTCGTAGCCCGGCATCGTGTTCTCGCAGCGACCCTTCTTACAGATTTCTTCAGCAAACAAAAAACATTCATCGATATCTGAAAAACAACACACAAATATGAATTTATCACTTTATTAAAACCACTTGATATACACTGATTTGATAATAACTTATAGACAATTATGACAATTATTTTCAAAACAATATGATTTTGAAAAATCTTTGTTATTAAACCCTGAAGACAGAGTTTATGTACCTTGGTAGGCAGGCAGGCTGTACTGGAGTCCTTCATTATAGTAGAGACCTTGGCCGTTTGGACACAGGAAGTGGAACTCAGCTGTGTAAGGTCAACCAGAACGTACACAGTCAGTGAACTATCTGATCATTGTGGTGACACAGAGGGGTTTGAACGACCCGTGACTACATGTAAAAATCCACATACTTGACTGAGAGACAGGGCAGGGGTAGATCTCACAGTGGTCGCCCCATCCCACTCCGATGGAGCAGCAACACTCCTGCTTGGTGACGTTGGTGGCCAGAACACTGTCGCAGAAAACCGTGTCGTCGAGGTTCAGGTAACACTCCTTCTTCTCCTCTGTCAGGATTCGAACCGCTGCAACGGGTGGATAAAAAAAAAAAAGGAGAACAGATGTCGTTTTGTCTGAGTTTCAAGAAGAGAACAGATGTCGTTTTGTCTGAGTTTGTTCTCAAACGCTTGGATACGTTTTTTAATTTGAGAAAATCAGTGCTGGCCTACCCTCACAGCTGCGTTTGTCTTCTGACTGGACATAACCATGGTTGCAGACACACTCAAAAGAACCCTGCGTGTTCTCACAAGTGCCAAAGGGCTGGCACAGTCTCCTGTTCACAGCACATTCGTCAATGTCTGGCAGAGAAAACAAACAGTTTGGACTCAAAGACAAACTTTTTCAGGGAGATCAAGTTTTGATAGTACCCATGGGTCATATTACTGCAGTAATATGTAAACAAATATACAGAACAAAGACAAATGAGATGTAACTCCAAATATTTAATAGATAAACATTGGCTAAAAAGTAGAGAGGAAATATTAGTAAAAAAATGTAGTTGAAACATCTAACAAATGTAGTCAAGTTTGAGGCAAAATATAGAAGGTTTACAGTGACTTGTGACTTTGTGACTGACCTTGGCATCTCCTGCCTCCCACCAGTGTGTAGCCTTCAGGACACTCACAGACATAGGAGCCCATCCCGTTGATACAACGACCTTTCTGACAGTTCGACGGCCTCTCACACTCATCAATATCTGTGTAGAGAAGGAAAGAGGAAAATGAGAATGAATAAAGTCAAAGCATGATCTGCTGCTAATGTTCTAAACCAAAGGAAACTGATGATATCCCTGCCTTCACAGTGGCTGCCCTCCTGCGTGCGTTTGTATCCTATGTAGCACTGACAGTGGAAAGAGCCGTCTGTGTTGATGCAGCGTCCGTAGGCGCACAGTCTGTCATCTTTGCATTCGTCAATGTCTGTTTAAAAACATTTTAGTTTATATTAACTTTGTGCATTTTTTTGGGGGGGCATTATTTTGCGATATTTTCGGTTTTAGCTCTACTCACCAATGCAGCGTCATTATTTTTTTAGTTTTAGCTCTACTCACCAATGCAGCGTTTGCTGTCGGAAGTTGGTATGAAGCCCTCCTTGCAAAGACAACGGTAAGTACCAGCCAGGTTCTCACAGTGACCGTTGGGACAGATGCCGTGCTTCTGACACTCATCAATGTCTGGTCAAAGACAAATAAAGTAATGAAATCCAACACTTGTTGTTATTCTAATAATTACATCTTGGTGTCAAGAAGTTGATGAACTAAAAGTCTAATGAAATATTACTAGGGATGGAGCACATGACAACCCTTATATAGAAAGAGCTCTGGGCAACCCCGCCCCATCCTGTGTGGATATATTTACATTTTACTGATTCATGTCCTGCACCACCTTCATGTGCTTTTTTGCCACTCCAACGTTCCGAGTAAAGCATTACATTTTGTTTCTGGGCACACTATATTTTATACAACAGCTTATTGAGAGATGAGTGATGTGACCGAACGCAGGAATTAATTCCCCTTTTTTGAAAGATGGCTGCAGCACAACTGGACTCACCTTGGCAGATTCCGGCTCGAGCTTCATAACCAGGCAAACAGGGAACACACTCGTAAGAACCTAGAGTGTTCTCACACTGCTCTTTGGGACAAGTGTCGGGCTTTAAACACTCGTTTATATCTGCAGAGAGACAGAGGAAGCGTTGGTGTTAGACGGTCTCCGTGCTACAGATGATGTCAAGTGGTTTGTCAAATAATAATATCCGTCGTACCTTCACAAACGGGGTTACGTGGCGACTTGCTCCTAAATCCAGGGTGACATTCACATGTGTGAGAACCCGATAGATTGATACACTTGCCTCCAACACCACAGATGTCCTGCTTAGAACACTCATTTACATCTCCAAGAGCAAGAATAAAGGTAAGCAGGATCTGGCAGCTGGCAGAAGGAAAGATGATTCAATGTGTCATTTAATGAGCTGAACTTACCGACGCACTTGAGCCTTCCATGCTGCACCATGTGTTTGTAGCCCTGACTACACAGGCATTTGTAGCTTCCTTCATTGTTGATGCACTGGCCTTTGCCGTGACCACAGGGCTCTGACACACATTCATTGTCATCTGGACAACAGAGGAGGAGACGGAGGCACAACAATGTTGAACCATGGACACGTAAAGAGCCTGATGTACTGTACCTAAAATGTTCTCTCCACAAAATTATTTATATGTTATGTAAAATATTGTATATTGTAAAAATATTGTAAAATATGTAAAAAAAAATAATACTAATACTTAAAGCTAATACACACACACTTGGCTTAGAAAAAAAAAATTAAAAAAATACAACACAACAAACTCAATAATAATAATAACAACATACATAATTAGATACTACCTATAATTTATAGTAATAGTGGTAAAATTATAAAAACAATAATGATTATGATTATAATTTTATATATATATTTATGGTATTATATTTTTTCATTTTTTTTATACATTTGCAACTGAAGTCATTGTGACTGTGGCTTTAACTGAAAGTACAGCCAAGGTAGTTAGTTGCGTAAATAGGTCCAAAAATCATTAAAACATTTCCAAGAAGAAGTTGGAAATATTTGGAGCAGACCAAAACCAGGACTAAACTACCATTACTAGTTTTACTAGTCCAAAGCCTGGTACCTGGGGCCTGAGATCTGCAGGTGAAAGACTGAGTATCTGAGAAAGATCATGCATAAGAAACTTCATCACCAGTGTTCCGTCCCTGCACCTCCTCTCATGAGGCGTGTCTCTACCATCGTCTCTTACCCTCACAGATGTTCTTCTGCGGGTTGAGATGGTAGCCAGGGTGACAGTGACAGGTGTGGCCGTTCAGTCTGTTCTCACACTCCCCATGACCACAAATGTTCCTTAGCTTACATTCATCTGTCTCTGCTTCAGGGATGGGGACACAGAGTGGGGCACAATCACACATATATATACATGCTCGATATATATATACACACATAAATATATGTATATATATATATATTTTACAGATGCACAGAAGTAGGTATGCAGATAGCGAATGTTTCACTTGTTTTGTGCGATATGGTAGGGCTGCATGATATACAACGACACGGTCACCCACCAGTACCAGTCACTCATTACACCCAAAATAGACCCATAAAAACTTCAAATTCCAAATGTTTTGCTCACATTTGACGGCTCGAAAGGCAAATATTATCACATTCACAGAATACAGTTTGTTTGTAGATGTAAATCTCGGGCCACGTTGCCGTTTTGCGGTTCTCAGTCTGATCCCAAAGGAGTCAAATATACATATGTAAAGAAACCAATGAGCCAATGAAAACCAACGTCTAATCAGACGGATCCAGAGTAACTGAGTGAGAAACTGTGTCAAAAACAATTTTTAAATATTATTTTGTTTACAAAATGAGTGACATGATTAAAGGGCGAGTTCTCTGTAAGTCATGCAGCCCAATAGGTGTTGAAAACAAAGGCGATAATATTCATGCCATAACTAAGGCTCTTTGACCATGTCCACACTGTTCACCTCATCTAATTTGTTCTGGACAAATTAAATACTGATGGTTGATTGAGGGATAGATTTATTAATATAATTTAATTTTTGTGATTTACAGACAACCTGCTTTAAATAATCAGTAAAAAAAAATTTAAAAAAGAGGATATGGCATGAACATGGTCTCTAGGGTTTGGTTCAAGCTTCATACATAACTTCACACATTCAAAGTGTATAGAAGCATCATCATTAGGAAGCACTGGAACATCATAGGTTTAACAAGGATAGAAATGCTGATGTGGTGACTGACTGTGAAATAACCAGTGATCGTGAGTTATATTCCTATGAAAAGTCAACATTTTGTTTATGTTGACTTTTAAATATATCAATACTATAATACTGTAGAGCTTTGGATACTGCTTTTGACAATTAAAAAGTTGCAGAAGTACAGAAGAGTAGTGTCTTAGATCCATGTTGAACAGCACTTGTCATTATCTTTTGAGCACGGTAAGAGGCAGAAAAGCGGCGTCTAAGTCCGTTTGATTTATATCATCCAGGTTTGATCACAAACTGCTCGGAGCAGCTGAGCAGTTTGGTCAACGTTGGACCAAATGTTGTGTGTTGTTATACCTTCAGTCTTCAGTGACCTTCAACGACTGCACCGTGTGCTAGACCTGGCTTTCTTTTTTTTCTTACATGTGTGACATTTTACAAGTACAAAATCAAATGTTTGTCAATGTGAAGTTTGCAGAGAACTCACGGAAGACTTTTGTCTGTGTTTCCAAGGGATCGTTGCCTTCAGTGACTCGGAATGCTGTCGGAGGAGGTGGTTTGACAACTGTGGATTGGACAGAGGAGAGATGGAGCTTGAGGAGGAAGTTTGACACGATGAACTTCAGATGAGGTTCCTGTTAGTCTACACCTGTTGTAGAATGGTTCAAACAGCGGTGCAGGAACCGGACAAAAAGAAGACTCTCTTTCTTTTACTGTGACTGACGTGTGGTGCATTTCTGGTACGTGTAGAGCCATCACTAAGTCAGTTTTTCGGCAAACTTTAAAAAATATAAATAATATTTAATAGCACCTAAAGAGGTTATATTTACCTCCCTAACATAATCTGCAACTTTAAATAAATCCTACAGTTCCCGTCCAACACCTCGCCCTAATGTCTATTCTTCTCCGCCCATTCTTTCTTCATTTTGCCATGGATTCTGCATTTCTGCACATTCTACAAAAACCCTACAGGAACAGATGAAATAGACCATGACACTATTTCATCAAAGATATTTCCAAGGAACCGCAGGTTGGCGGACGCCAGCGCATTTTCCTGGGTGTTTAGGTTTAATTTAAAGCACGATCAAACTTGGTTACCAGGCACACGAGGACTGCTGCTGGTGGTGGTCGTGGATGCATGAACTGTGGTCGTCGTCTCCGGCCGCTTATCACCATCATTGTCGGGCGAGTAAATGTAGGGGGGGATCTGCAGGGTTCCTCTAATCTCCTGCCAGGAGTAGCCCTTCCCAGCGGGACAGATTTTCCAGAAGGCCTCTGAGAAGAAGAAGGATAAAGAAATGAAAAGTTTCAGTTATGATTTATCTGTTGAATATTTCTATCTGTTTGTGGACGATTATTGTCATTAGCAGACGAAAAGACCAAACAGCAAAGGACAAGACACGGTTTGGGGACGCAGGGATGAAATAATGAGATGCAGATTCTGAGATTTATCAGATGAGAATTCAAAAGTATGAGATTATAAGATTAGGAGAATCAGGTCTACTCACCGGTGTTGGCTGGAGGACAGGGTTCACAGTTACGGCCCCAGGCCTTCCCCACTGTGCAGCAGCACATCGCCTGGGTGATGGGTGTGGGTATGGGAAGCTCACATTCTCTGTCCTTCACCAGGCGGAAGCACTGAGCCTGCTCTGCTGGAGACTCTGACAGGGGAGACCAGGAATGGCCTTTTTCAACTAAACAGATGGAAAAATTTGTAAATGAAGGTTTTCATCATGTCACATCCAGATACAGGGCGATATAAATAAATGCTGAGTGACTGACACTTAAATATCTGGTACTCACCGATGCATCGATGCCTGTCCAGCACCAAACCTGGTCCACAGGAACATTTGAAGCTGCCCAGCGTGTTGAGACATACTCCTTTCTCGCAGATGCCCTGCATCTGACACTCGTTGATGTCTTCCAGGAGCAAAGGAACAAATTTGAAATGATGAAGTGTTCTGACATTTACAAGATCAGAGACGAGGTCAGAGAGCTGCGATTCTCCCCGTCTCACCTTGACAGTGTGTACTGTTGAATCTTTTGTATCCCTGCGGACACGTGGAGCCGTAGTCTTCCACGATGTTCTGTTTGACCGACGCATCTGACGACGTAAGCAGAACACACGGTGAAGGTTTTATACATTGTTTTGGTTGGGATTATTTTCATGATCTAAGAACCTAAATTTAAAAGAAGTTTTTTTTTTGCTCCTGACAAATGTGTTAGTTAACTTGTTAGCACTTGTAAAAATGTTGATTTTTTAAAATAGATATATTCATATTTTCCTGAACAGAGCTTTTAATTAAAATACAAAAAAAATAAAAGCCAAACTAATAACCATTTTAGTTATTAGTTTTCCGTGGTTTATCTAAAAACCACATTAAAACTAAATCTTTCAAAGCGTTGAATAAGATGTTTTTACTCATAATAAAACTCTGAACCTCTAACAGAGGAGAAAAAAAATCCAATTTTAGATTTATGAGGCCATTTTATTAGGCACATTTCCTGACACCCACCTTTATAAATGGGGTGTTGAAGAAACACTGTCATTTGGACGAATAGATATAAATATATAACACCACAAGCATCACTCTGGGAATGAGTCCAGGTAAGTCAGGACCAACCAGACAGAGACTATCTACTTTTTTCTCTCTGTCAAAGGACGTATTGTCTGAGTCAGAGCAGAGAGGCTGAATAATAACAGAGTGGAAAAAAACCCGAGCGTCCAACATTTTCTTGAAACTCAACCCTCAGTAATGTGAGGACGGTCTCGGCTCCGACTCAGACTCAGCTTCAGAGGAACGGGCTTAGAACAAGAGCTGATTTCCAACATTCTCCTCTACTGTCTCACTGTCTCTGTGTAATTCCAATAATTTCTTCCCTTTCCTTTTTTCCCCTCCCAATGTTTGACACACTCCCTAACCCACCAGACCGCAAACTTTCATCTACACATCCAAACACATTTTATAGAGGTGTGAGGAGTGTTTTGTTTGCAGTTTCTTTTTTTTTTAATCCTAGGCCAATTTTTATGAGGTGGAAAACATAAACTGCCGGGAATCTTTGACTGTTTGACTGTTGGCCACAAACAATAATTTGTTCCCAAGGGAAAGAAAGTAGACTGAATAAAAGGAGGTTTGACGACAACTAGAGGAACAATTACTGTAAACGCACCTTCACGTCAAACACAAAAATATAAATTAACCCCAGACAAATGACTTATTCTAAAAAAAATGTATCATAATTTAGAAGAAACAAAGCTAAACATAATCAAGATAGAGCCAGTTAGTTAAGTTTAAAATATATTGCTAAAAATGTGTTAGCTTAAATGGCAAAAAGAAGATTAACCCAAAAACTGCAACAAAAAAAGTCCCAGCCTCTGTTAAACCTTCAGGCTTCAAATCCAGAAAATAATAATAATAATAATAATAATAATAATGCAGTTGTAAAGAGTTTTTTAAAGTTTAGTCAAACACTATACCAGGACATAGTAAAGAAGTATCTAAAACTCACTTGGTAACTTGGGACACTGGTAACACTTGTTTTGTCCCCAGGAGTTTCCCACGCTGCCACAACAATCCTCCTGATTGGTCAGAACAGGAAGTGGCGTGCTGTTACACTGAAGGAAGGACACGAGAGGGAAATGTTACCAGGAGAAAACAAACCAGGAGTGTGTTGCATCAGAAATAGAGCTCTGCCCCGATGATGGCGCTGAACTCACGGCCTGTTTGGGCGTGGTCTCCTGGAAGCAGCGACCCTTGGGTTTGTGCCTGGATGGGATTGGACGGGGCACTTGTGTCTTGTGAGGAAGTTTCACCTCTGGTTGGTCGATCGGTTGAATGGCCACTGAGGTGTCGGGTGTGTGGTGAACACGCACTTTTATATGCACTCCTGAAAATAAATGACAAGTATGAAACTAAACTGCTAAAAGTCAAAACAGTTTGCATCAGAAATAGAGATTAATTTAACAACACTGATAACTTCAAGACGTAATAAAAAACCTAACAGCTACAATAACGAAACATGATTTTGTTGAAAGTTACTAATTGTTATTATGCAAAACATTACGTAAAAATGTGACTTAATATACTCGATATCAAGTTCTATAAAAAACTTGGATTCAGCCGTGATCATACGACTACACTCTTGATCTTTCCTAGGACAGTGAAGGCATCACTTCACCTCTGGTTGATAGAGTACAACAAGGGCTAGTGGCTGCCATTTAAGTTTTTTTCCTAGGACGGTGAAATCATCACTGACATTTCTGTAGGTGTAGTTGGAGAAGCACAGAAGTTTTATTTTTTGTATAATTTAGCTGCAGGTTGCTAGTTTGAGTTCACCGGAATCCTCAGGATACCTTCAGATGAGTGGTGCCCTTGGGAAAAAGGTAGGGTGAAGACTGAGTGTGTTTGCGTCCGCTGAGTAAGAGTGATGCTTGAGCGCTCCACCAGTTTCTGGCCGTCTGGCTTCAGGGATACTGGGTAGACGGGCTGCTTGTTTCCCCTCGCTGCCTGGGCCTGTTGCGTGTGTTGGAGTGGAAACTGGCAGAGGCGACCGGTGAAGCCAGAAGGACAGAGACAGTGTTTTCTGGAGCTGCACACTCCTCCATTCAGGCAGGTGAGTGGACAGACAACTGAGGAGAATGAGAGAGAGAGAGGGGAGGGGTCAGGGGGGGCATCGATGAATCAAATCACAGGAGGAAAAAACGAGCAACAAAAGAACACAGTGATATAGCTATGAAATAGCTGATTTAGGATCCGTTAACCTCAGAGGGGTTGAGATGACCATGTGAGCAGGCCAGAAATTTACTTTTATGTAACATAAAAGTGGAAAAAAAAACATAGGGGAAAGTTCTTGGCATGAGCAGGGAAATATAAAACTTTAACTCTGCACGGAGACACTGACCAACACATCAGCGAGAGGAGAAAAACAGGTGACATCACTGACGTGTTCGACAGCCTCGGTCCAACATGTGGGAAAGATCATCAGATCCAGAGGCAAAACAAGAGCAGCGTCGGAATCACAGTGTATTCACTGCAGTTTTGGCTGCACTTTTTTAAGGTCTCCCATTGTGTTTATTTTAGGTCCAGTTGGTTTCAAACTCCCTACGACAGAACAATCCAAGGAAACAGGCGGTCGGAGCGGAGCTGTGGGGAAGGTGTAAAGTCACACGTGAAGCCAGGAGGAGAAGGAGATCCCAGCAGAAAAACTGAACTCCTCAGACATTTGGTCAAGACTATCCAGAGAGTGAGTTTGATTTTATTGTTTCCAGAATATAAAATCGTTCATTTAAGAGAAACATTGTGGACTTTGTTTGGAGAAATAAATTAATCTCAGTTGATCGGAAACAACTCTGACGACAACCGTCTGTAATCAGAGAAGAGGAGCGTATATGAAGGCCTCCTCCTTCACCTCCTCTTTCGTCTCCAGAGCCAGAGGAGAACACATGGGAGTAATTAGTTGTGGACAGCCACAGAGTCTGGACTGTGGTGTGATTAGAGGACAAGATGGCCGTAGACGTAGACACAACAGGGACATCCTCGTACAGTAAAATCGGACAGAAAATGTAAAGAACTTTAATCAAAACAAACCAAACTTGGTGTTTTTGTTTTTTTAATTCTAACACCACTCTGTTATAGAGGGAGAAGCTGTGGGTAGAAAAAAAAACACGAAGGACCAACCATTTCTGGAGCGTCGAGCATTCAATGGACGAGGAACGCAGATAGAGAATTTTCCTGTTTCCATCACAAAACTGGAGTCAGACCAAGAGGGAAAAGTGCGGGGGACGTAAATTGGACTAGCAGACACGGGCGGGCAGGGGGAAAAACTCTCACTTTTCCAACAGTGGTTACACAATCGGAGCCCACAGAGACTGGAGAGATGAGTCAGTCTGAGGCCTGGGTCTGGGTCTGGGTCTGGGTTTGGATCTGGGTCTGGCTGAGAAGGCGTCTGCAGACTGACGCGGCACAGCCAGGGTCAGAGCCACATCAGTGAAACTCACAGACATGAAGAAGACGTGAGGAGTCGTGTTACACCGTCTGGGTCAGGATTCTTGAATGAGGAAGAGAAAAAAAAGGTGGGGAGGGAGGGAAAGGGCTGGGGGGGGGGGGTTTGGGAGGCTCCGGGCGCAGGACAAA